TCACCATCTATCCTGAAAACATCTGGGAATCAGTGTAGACGTCACCAGAAGCTGCGACTTGAGCTTCAGTGCTCTGAAGAGGAACAGATGTTCTACACAAAACTTTAAAAATTACAAAAAAATGGATAGAGGCACAGACTGAGATCCTAATCCTACTTGTCGAAAGGATGCCCCACTGAATTCAGTTGAACTTACTTCTGAGTAGACATAATTAGCATTGCAGATGTGAGTTAATTCCATATCTGAGTTCATATTTCGACTTCCTTAGGTATTTTGATATAGAGAAGAGAATCTGTATTCCTCATCTAGCCCAGCAGTTTGTATGTATTTATTTATTTTACTGCCCACAGCTATCCAGGGTTTTAGACTAGAACCTTTTACACCTTCCTGGCTTGAGACCCTGCTGAGGAACCATATGCAAAGCATGAGTTCCACTTCTTTGCCGCAACCCTGCAATTCCTTGTATTTCCTTCTGCTGTCACAAAATATCTTTATCCAAAGAAGATTCATGCAGTGGAGAAAACTCTTAATTTTCTACAGCATGGCAGCTCAACACTATTCACAAGGATGTTTGAAAAATGCCAGCCCTACATGGGCAGGGATGAGAGCATAAGAACCACCCAGCTGGATCAGTCCAAAGGCCCACAAGCAGGACTTGGTGTGGTATCACTATCCACACTTGTGATTCTCAGCAATTGGCATTGAGAGGCATTCAACCTCCAGCAATGGTGGGCAAAATACAGCCACCCAGGCTAGCAGCTGCTGATAGCCTTATCCTTCATTATTTTCTCTAATCCTCTTTTAAACCTCTTCACATTTGTGGCCATCATTACATCTTGGGGAGCAAATTCCATAGTTTTAGCTAAAAGAAACTGCAACTTGAGTAGTGCCACTGGCTCCTAAGGATCAACTTTCTTCAAACATTACCAGCCATGTTGTGGGGTCAGACTCCTGGCTTCTGATAAAGTATGAACTTCCCTTAGAGTATGAAAATGAAGCTTCTTCAACCAGGCTGCACTCTACAAAGCCAGAAGCATACACATTTTGCTAATTGTGTGTTCCTTTATGTCCATCTTAAGTTCAGGAAAATCTATAAGCACATATTTTTTTACTGTAGAACAATTTTTATTTAGTAATGTCTGCAAAGAACAGTTTTGAGTTTTGCTATCCCAGAACTGAAGATCTGCTTGTTAATGCAGATCCTGGAAAGTGAGTCTAGTAGCAAGGTAATACTAGTATAAATAAATAGTTTCAAAAATAAAAACCATTTGCAGTGGTAAATTTGCACTTCAGCTCCCATGCACTCCAACCAGTACCATGTTAGTTGGGGCTGACCTATTTTGGACCTCATTGTTCTTCCAAGTATTCCTCAGCATATTGTAATATTCTTAACTGCTTTCCTTATGAGAAATAATTGGTTTGAATAATTCTTAGCACGTTTCTCCTAGCAGAATTCTAGTTTTGACTATTTAAAGCCAGTTTTAAACCCTGTTAATTTGCCTTTATTAGAAGGAGGCACCTGGTGAAGATCAGGCTGTTGTTGGAAAAGAACATCCGGCTGGAAGTTTGATCTTCCCACCATGCCAATAATTTGAGCCAGCCATTCCTTCCTATTGATACTTCTACCCAGATTATATTTGAAAAGCAACTCTTTCCCCAAAGGAAAGTAGCCACAATTCAATGATACATATTAAAAAGTAATTATTTCAAATGTCTCAGATATTCTTTCTTCTCAATATTAATTTTGTTTGGAGAAGAAAAATCTGAGGACATAGTAAAATTGATAATAATAAACTTATTTATAAATCTGGGTGCAAAAAGCAAGAACAAGCTATTCTAGATTTAATTGAGGCTTCCCAAAGTCTAAAGTAGTGCCTGGTCAAATACTCCAAAATGTTCCTTCTTAGCTGTTTTGGTTTGCACTGTACCAAATGGAGCAAAACTGGTTTTAGATGTGACTCTCTTTTCAGTTTCATGGAATACCTAACTGCCGACTGTCTCCTATAATGGACTAGGCCAGCCTTCCCCAATCTGGTGCCTCCCAGATACTTTGGACTACAACTCCTATCAGCTCCAGTACAGCCATGCTGGACTAGGCGGTACCAAGCCTAGAGAACTACATACTCACTTTCCATAGCACACAGACCATAACTCAGAAAAATATATTAACGTTCCTCCAAAACAGTGGGGGTGTGTGGGAATTGCAGTTCCTTTAGACAATAGGAGTGGTGGAGCTGTATTTACTAGAGCTGTAAATTTGGCGGATTAAAGTACAGGTCTGGCCTGGTACATGACCCTTTTTTTAGGATGGATAGTTTCAGAGAGTGATTGGTCCAAGGTCAACCAGTAAACCTCATGAGTGTTCAGATATGTGAACACCAATACTCTAGGAACGTTCATCACCTTGTAACTAAGCCGTTTTACTGCCTGTGCACTTTTTCTGAATGTGGTATGGAAAAGCACATGAATCTGACCTTTGGAGAGTTTGTAAGTAAACCAAATGTGTGACCATTTTCCAACTTAAGAGGAAGAGGGAAACTTTTGAACTCACCTTAAAGAGTCACCTATATTTCCACGCTTTACTCTGCTGCATATTTTGAGACTTTAAATCTCTGCTGGTTTTCTCTTACCAAAGAGTACATGGCCCACACTTGGATCTTGGCATCTAGGAATTCTCCTTTTTATATACCATTTTTTCCCTTGAACCAACACATATATAAAAACTATTCATTTGGTTTAAAGCCCACAGGTGCAAGAAACCTGTGCAGGTGATGAATGTGTGGCACATGGAAATTTCCTCCCACTACATACACAAAGCATTCTCCAACACATAGAAAAAGGGAACACACATGTGAACACCAGTGCTCATATCACATCATCTTGCAATTCTTAAATTCTGGTCCTATTAACTGTCTTGTTGTTAAAATTAGGTGATTTTAGACTATATATGAGATGCTTCTATAACTTCTGGATATTATTGTTGCGTGGTGAAATATCAATGTTTTGTGAGAGGAAAACGAAAGGTACGCAACAGCTGTGGTCCCCCTAGCCCAAGGTTCAGGTCTTTTGCAACCTAACCCCTCCACTCTCCCTTGTGGCTACCGAGCCCTTCAGTTCCTTCTGCAACCTTAGCTAAAAGGGTGGATTGCTGTGAAGTGCTCCCCCCTCTAATCTCTGTTTAACTATTTCCATATGATAACTGCTTTGAAGCCCTGCAGCCCAATGAAAAGGCCAGAAGCCACGGCTCTGTTGTGGGGGGTCCCCCAGGGAAAAAGTATGTAAACAAAGGCCAGCTCGGCAGCCTTTACACCTCGCTTTCCTCTTCCTTTCTTGCCTGGATCTCAGGTGGAATTAAAGGGATTAAAACTGAGAGTAAATGAGGCGAGTGTGCAAAATGACTCCTTTCTGAACCAAACGGCATGTTCCGTGCTGGGGAAATGAGATACACATTTAAATCTCATCCATCCACCGCCTGTGGCCACCACCGTGTACCTGCCTACTTAGCCCAAGGGTTAATTAATTGAGGCTTCAATGCACTATTGCAAGAGCATTATTGCATTTGATACTCTACATCTGTGATTTAAAACTCTTTCAGTCCCTTGTCAGCAAGGGAGGGTTTTAACTAGGAAATTAGCATTCAGATAAGGGTACGCTCTATTTGCTTCTGAAAGGAAGGAAATATTAAGGATGCTAGTGCACAAACCACAGTATAATATTCTGTCCCATCATGGACAGGACTCCTGAGCCCAGCTTCCCGGGGGTGGGGGGAGGATGTAGCAGAATCAAGGGACATCTGAAAATGGCTATGTAACCGCCAGAAGAAATGAATACAGTGGTAACCGGGTTATGAACTTAATTCGTTCCAGTGGTCCATTCTCAACCTGAAACTGTTCTTAACCTGAGGTACCACTTTAACTAATGGGGCCTCCCGCCGCATGATTTCTGTTCTCATCCTGAAGCAAAGTTCTTAACCCGAGGTACTATTTCTGGGTTAGTGGAGTCTGTAACCTGAAGCATCTGTAACCTGAAGTGTCTGTAACCTGAGGTTCCACTGTACATGGTAGGGAACAAGCTACCAAATACATTTCAACCAAGATGGTTGTGTCAGGCTAATATATTAAAAACACCCTGACTCTTTCTGTGCTTTTAAATGTATAATTATTCAGGTCTGATATTTGTAGTTGGATTCATATGAAAGTAAGTCGTCAGTTGGATAGGAATATTAAGAGTACTCTAGTTAGCTTTTGTTGTCTCTTGGCAAGTAGAGAATTTAAGATTATCTTGCATTTGCACCTTAGTCTTGTATACTGAATTAAGCATGTACGGCCTTCAGCTACTAAAACTCATCACCATTTTCCAATAGTGCTGCAGAGTATAGATAATCAGACTACTCAGGAATAAATAAGACAGCCTTGTATATTAGACTAGAAAAGTTAATAGTCTTTCTTTCTTTCTTTCTTTTCTTTCTTTCTTTCTTTCTTTCTTTCTTTCTTTCTTTCTTTCTTTCCTACTAACAATTGCCTTTTACAAGTAGACTGGCAAAGGAGGAATGAGTCCCTTGTCTGCAAGCATGCTCGGTTTCTGTGCTTGCCTGCATGTCATCTGGGGCGACCAGGCAAGTAATTAAATAGAAGACTGAATCATGGAATATAAATATATGAAGTGTAGTATATGATTTTTTTAGCCTTAAAACATACCTGACTGGACAGTTAGCTGATCAGTACACACATGGTATAAAAAGCAAAAGTTGCATAAAGTGCAGCTAAGCAGAATTATACCAATGTAGATAGTATCTAGTTATGCAGAAGCAGGCCTTATACTTCCCAGAGACAGCATTTACTAACAGGAGGGACTGAGGTACTGTACATACAGCAGTTTAAAGTGAATTTGATTTATCCAGTGTGTGCATGTATTTTATGTGTCATCCACATGATGCTGTTTTCTTGCAAGTGGTAGCCTGGACTGTTCCTGTTTTTAATTTGGATTTTCTCCATCTGCAGATAATGCGGTAAGGAAAACAACAACATAAAATTGCATGTTACCCAACTTTGGATGTACTGGACTGCATTGTATAGGTAGGTGACTTTTTTAAAAAACATGCGTAGTGTTGTTTTGCTGGGTACCGTCTATAATTGCACCCCTACTTTGGTTGGCAAGGCACTCCTCAGCGGGTTGTTTGTGGGTCCAGGCACTTGTTTTATGCAAGTCTGCTATATCTCAGAAATAATAATAGGCTGAGCACATGGGTAAAAAATGCCTGCATACGTGCCTACAGTGGGCCTTAGTTTTTCAGAATTAGGAAGGGTAAGGAATTTAAGAGAAGGGAGCAACAACCCACAATGCAAGTGCATACAGTCAACCACCCTCATTTGTATGGGTGGGAAACGCTGAGATATAATTCAACTGAAAGCACTCATTGTTGGCAGACCTTGCAGCTAGGGTGAATTAGATTGGAAGAATAACTGACAGTTTCTTGAGTTCAAAGGTTTTATTCATGCAGGAATTATTTACAGGATGAGTGCAGATGAGACAGAGAAAATAGCAGAGATCTTGTCTCAACAAGTTGGGAGAAAGAGAAACAAACAAAATGGCTCTGTTCTTAGGGGAAGTTAACTAGACAGAGGCTATGCAAACATTGTGTAGTATTAGCTAGAAGTTTAGTAAAAAGGAAATGCATTCGCTTTTCTCTAATACTCTCTGCTGCAGTCTGTGGTGTGGCAGACATGGTGGGGAAAGCCCATCTTGGGGTCATAGTTGTTGGCAAAGGCATGCACTGATCATGTAGACTGAAGTTGAAAACAAATGCCTGATTATACCAAGGATGGGGAACCTGTGGCCCTCCAGATGTTGTTGGACTTGCATCACCCCAACCATTGGACTGGACTCTGGAGGCCCACAAGTGTAATTCAGCTAAGGGACAGTATATGTGTATATGTAAAAGAGCATCATGTATATATTAAAGATACCCTGGAACTCTCTTTGTTTTAAGTTACTCAGATGCAAATTTTGGGCATTGTGTACAGCCAAAAGCTATTGATAGATACATCTTTCAGAACAGCTCCATCGGAAGTGTCAAAGCTCCTGACTGGTGCTTCACAGCACCAGATTGGAATCATGGAAATAGGTTTTCAAAATATTAGGTAAATGTGGAGGTGGAAAATTCAGATGGAGGTACCATTAGCAACATGTTGCAATGTCCTTGATCAAATACTCGGAAGGTGTTGAAGTCTTTACAAACACAACCAGAGTTCTAGGTGCCAGCACCATACAAACTACAATCCTTTTTAGGAATATGATTCAACATGGCATAAGGTTATTTGACAAGGAGGCTGCCATTGTGTCTTTAACTAGCACAAAGGACAGTCAAGATTAGCTACCCTAGAGAAGTGATGGTTTCATGAGAACCACACCCCCAAAGTTGCCTATTTAGCAACTGTAATAGGACTTTTTCAGTTTCATAAAGTACCTTGATAACTGGAAAGTGCCAGTTAATGGCAGAATGTTCCAACTATGAATTTCACAGAGATTAATCTACCCCTTTAGAATCCTAAGAAGCCAATCAAGTGGCCGCCCCAGTCTTAGATGTTTTACAATCTCTGTGGGCACAAAGCTCAAACGGAAACTACCGTTCAAAGTCTAAACTGTCATCTTCATCTTCTTCCAGCATAAAAATACAAATTTTTCACCATATAAAGATTTTTTATAATAGCAATAAAGCAACTCTAGAGAACATGGTTGTCTTGAGATAGTTTAACTGTGCCTGGTACCTCATAACACCCTGGGGATGTGGCCGCCTCATAATAATCACTTTCTTTAGCATGCCTTGCTCAATTAAGGAATGGAGCTAAAAGGTCAGTGCAGGATAAAAATGTAAATCTGAAAAGTTTTCATCTTGACCCTAACTCCTTGTCATAAAACCTAAATAATATTCTGCTGCAATAATAGCGTTCTGAATCTCCACCCTGATATGTTAAGCTGGCAGGAACCAGGGTATGTTTTGCAGACTAGCACACTATCTTGGAGCAATTAATTCAAAATAGATCATTTGCTTGCTTGTTGGGTGAGGAGATGGGCTAAATCACAGCTGTTCTGCATGCCAACAAAGGGATATTTATCTCTTCTCGTAGCAACTCTAGTCAGAAGCAGGTTTTTACTATTAACATAGAGTTGGTTTCTGTCAAGAGCTATCTCCCCTCTCTTGCTGCCCCCAATGGCCAAGGCTAGGCATACAATGCATTAAAAAAGCTAATCTTTTGCATTAAGGCTGGGCCTACATAGGACCAATCAATCCAGATTTAGAAAAACAATGACCTGTGTTTTAAGCCGGTGATGTGTACACAACCATAGTTTCAATGGTTTCAACACTAAGCCTGCTGCAGTTATGGAATCATGGGATACATGCAACCTATTATCCACTGTGATTTACTAAGAGGGTTCCTTTGAAGAGTCCCTCCATACATCAAGTAGGGGCAGTGGGGCACATAGGGACACTTTCTTTTTGCTGCCCTACCACTTTCTTTTGGCTGCCTTGCCAAAATTCTTTTGTAAGCTTTAAACATTTGGACATAGAGTTGAAGTGAAGAGGGAAGCAGAGAGAATCCCTAGGGACCAAGTTATATGTTCATCTTACTCCTCCTGATCTCTCTCTTTCTCTCTCCCCACTACCTTACGACCCCTTCCTATTTTCCTCAAAGAGAAGGAAGTTTCCCTGCTTATATGCTGCTACCTTCTCAGGAAGCCTCTGTGAAGGGAATGCAGAATCCTCTTATGAATCCCTTGTTGGAGAAAGGGTAGATGCCCTCCCCAAAGTCCACATTTTCAGTGAAAGGCCTGTTTAGTTCAGCTTCTAGTTGCTTTTCATTGGGTTCAAATTTTAAGCATAGGCCTTAATACATTTTAATCATTTTTCTGTTGTATCTCAATCCCCTAGAGCTAGGACTTGGATGTCCAAATAAAACTGGAAAATTCAGCTGTAGAACAGGTTTCCACTGTTTGGTTTGTAATCATAGAAAGACAGGATATAACTATAATAATCTATATGTATTAAAAATGTGTTTGTGGGTGGAGAATGAACCTGTACAGCAGGGTACCTTCCAGATGTTGTTGGGCCACCAATTTTCAGCTCTAGTGGGATGTAAATTATAGGTTATTCTGGAAAGGAGGAAAAGACTCAGTCTTTTACATGGAAGACGCTTGATGCATATGAGGACTGGGAAACATGGCCTGTTGCATTCCTAAATGCCAGCTCAATAATCAAGAGATGACAGTCCCGGAAACATACCAGAACCGCTTTATTTCCTTGCCACAAAGCAAATACATCTATATATCACCTATATTGCCTCCAAGAAGAAGAAGAGTGAGAAATTCAAGCACACATCAGCAGGATCGCCGCTCTGGAGGCAGAGGCGGAGCTTGCTGCTCCGGCACCTAAGGGGGGCACTGCCTGCGGCGAGCATCCCGGGGGGGCGAGGCAGCAGTCACTCCTCTCAAGGATGACACCTGGGGCAGGCCACACCCACTAAACCCCCTTCCTTCGCTAGTGTCTGGAGGGGCAGGCTTGTCTTGGACTTTGTTGAGTGGGAATGGACTTCCTGGTTATGGAGTGGAGCACCTCATCAAAGTGTCTGGTTGGGTTAACCAGTGTCTACATTCACCTTTCCCCTGACAGTAGGCCCAAGAGCCCCACTGTTTCCACCATGGCCCACCACTCGAGGGCCCCAGCCGGCGCAGCATTTGGCTCAGCTGGCTTAGCAACAGGCATTATGTGTATTTTAATGAACTGAATAGAGTGAAAGATTATGAGTCGGGGGGGCTTGGATTACATCTGTATGCAGGGGTGAAGCGGGGGAGAGGGTTGCTGGAACCCCAGGTGCACAATTTTTAGGGCCGCCCCCCCAGGAATTTCTGTCCCATGCTGCCTGCTGCTCTGACCATAGTTCCTTACCAGGAAAGTAGTTGTTATATTGGCAGTTTGCCCATCATAAAGAGCAGAATGCCCACAGTCAAAATGGCCTTTTATTTTTACTGTTGGTGATGTGAAATTTCTTCCGCACAATTAAGTGCACTTGTTCCAATAGTGCATGCCATGAGTCCCTTTCTGGATGCTGTTACTGATATCATTTGAGAGAGCAAGGAAATCCCACAGCACCACTTTAAAGCCTTTTAAATGTTAAAATGTTTTATATCCTGAGAGGCTGCTCTGGTGAACTTTTCATTTTATTCCCCACATGCATTCTTAAAATATGGTACGTTTTGGTGTTCCTTAAATATGAATCTTCATAGCGGCTAAAAGACTGATCAGGAAAGCAGAAAGCTCCCAGTTTGAATCTCTTCTCTACCATGAATTCACTTGGTAGCCTTAGGCAATCTTCTTAACTTCTGCTCTCATCTGCAAAATGGGGGTAATACCATGCATTTAGCTTACAAGGCTCTTGTAATAATTACAAGCTATTGTATGTGAAATGCTTTGAATTGTTATACAGTTGCTAAGTATTTGATGTTGTTTATATCTGATAGATTTAAAAAATAGGCTACATTTCACAATGACTTGATACTTTCTGAAGTCTCACACAACTGGTATTATCTTAGGGTTGGTAATAGCACAGCACTAAAAGTAAAATCAAGATTATTGTTTTTAATTGTCTGGTAAGGGCTTCAATTTATTTCAGAGTACAGTAATGCACTAGATTATTTCCTGCACATTTTATACTCCGGCTCTAGAACAGAAAGCAAATACTGCTTTCCTTTCCCATTAGAATACAAAATATCATAATGGCATCCTGATTTTGGCAGCTATTAATCTTAGCACTCCCTCAAGTCAATGAAAATGCAACTTTATGTGGTGCACAATGACATTAAAGGCATACCTGTATTCAAAATGTGCCTGTTTTGACAGAAGAGATAGAGATTTAAACAGGAGTTTCTGCTCTGGATCTGTTCTGTGGCATAAATGATGGATGCAGGAAAATAATACATATTTTCATTGCTTTCAAGTAATAGAATCTTCATTCCATTCATGGTCCTGGCAAATAGGAATCAAAGTGTGATTTCTGTCATGGAAACAGTTGCATGTCTT